AATGAAATGATTATTCAACATTTTTAAAATATTTAAATTTTCTAAAATAAAAATTTTAAATAAATTCACATAATTTTTAACGCAATTAAAGTAATTGAAATTGGAGTTCTAATAACTATCATTCATGGAATATAAAGGGAACTCCGTCACGGAAAAAACATATATACTTTCTCGGACAGTAAATCAGCACTCCTAGCACTGCACTCACCTCTCGTGACCTCAAAACTAGTGTAGAAATACCTTCAACTTCTCAAAAACCTTGCTGAAAGGAACAGGGTTCACTTAGAATGGATTCCAGGGCACAGCGGATTTGAGGGAAACGAAAAAGCGGATGAATTAGCCAGAAAAGTGGCGGCCTCAAATTATATTGGGCCATAACCATTCTGCAGTCCTTCATGAAGCCTTTCCAAACTTAAAATTAATGAGTAGCTGGAAAGAGCAGCCGTATCGATAAAAAGCCAGAATTAGGGAGCTACTTCTGCTGAATAGAAGTGACATACGACTTATCACAGGGTTTCTCACTGGACATTGCGGAGTTAAAAAGCATCTATCGAACCTAGGTATTATTAGAGACGATAGCTGCAGACTTTGTTGCAAAAAAGAGGAAATAGCAGAATACATTCTCTGTCACTGTGATAGTCTCGCCAGACTCAGACTTCGGTACTTATCCACTGCCTATCCACTTATCAAGGAATTAGGCAACATCTCACCAAAAGACATAATCGCGTTCTTAAGTGCTACTAGTCTATGGAACTAAAGTGGATATGTCACAATAATCCTCAAAGAATGCAGTGACGTGGTGACAAGTTCCCAACCCGTTTTAAAATCGTATTCAAAGGCTACAGTTTACGATTAGAGGTAGAGTCGATATGTTAACTGTAGAATATAATTGTAGTTGACCACACCCAGATTTATATGTATTTAATTAATAAAAAATGCGATAGTAGTAATGACTATATGCTTATGATTTATAAAATTCACTTAGAATTTTTATGTATACGAATATTTAAAAAAAGGATTTAAAACTAATTAAAAAAAATTATGCACTATATACACTGTATCTAAATTAAAAATAATACCCTTTATTGTTAAACATAATAGAAGGAAACTGAGAGATTAAATCAATTTAAATAAAACACAAAAATTATGAATGGTCTAAGAACGTAATTGGTCAGAAAGTAATTGATCTTCTATTTGTCATTGCTCATAAAATATATTACTTATAAATGAAATACTTTCTTAATTCTTGAAAGTGTTATAAAAATAAACATTTTTTATTAAATGTCTTAGAAAAGATAATTCTTTTTAAATAAAACAACATACTGGGCGGTGTATATATGTAAAATATATATATAAAATATTATTTTAGTATACGTAGCATTATTAACGACTTAAAATTTATAGAATTTTTACTATATTATCTTATATATATATAATATATACATTAGATGACCTATTATTTATTTATTTATATAATATATGTTCACGAAAGTGTTCGATTTTCGTTAATTTAATGCAATTCCTTCTAGCTAAACCACAGGCAAGGCCATTAAAAGGTGCAAATTACGTTTTTAACGATGTGGCACCATTTCATTTAAAATTGTGATAATGTAATACTTATATATAATTTTCAGATCCATCTTCGTAAGGTTTGACAACTTTAATTATAAATGTTCATATAAATTATATTTTTTTGCCACGAAATTTGGTTGAACATTTCAGTCCAGCATTTTATGGGTCGGTCTTTTACTACGAATATAA